ACGACCCAAATACCTTGTGATTTTCATAAATGAAGAAATATAACGCCCACAGTTCGACCATCACTGATCATAAATCGTACTATTGGTCCAACGAACTGACATTGGAAAACCCCATTCAATAGTGAAATGCACTTCTTCAAATAAGAAAAACATACAGATTAGAAAAATAACTAGTTTCTGAACTGACCAAACGACAAATCTTACCAAAAATTCATTTGTTCCAATCTTGCTGATACCATCGTCTCCATTTGGCTGTCTCCTTGTAAACTGCTCAGATAATTGCTATTCAATGGGAATTAAAGATATTTTTATTCGTTTTAATGGTATAATCAAAACGTTGGGGGCACCGGTTTTCATTTCCAGTCAAAGTGTAATATTTTGACGACATCGCCAAAATCCACAAACACATCGTAACTCTTCCACGAATGGTTTGTTAAATTTTTTCTAGTGGTAGGCACGCTTCCATGGATTTTGTTCTTTCATTCGGTAACGGTGAATCACCAAGCCTAAGAGCTGAGCGCTTTGAGTCACTTTCACAACTGAACTCATGTCACCTTTAGGTACACGTCATGACTCCCCCGGTCCAGATGAAACGTGCATTACTCGCTGAACAGCGAACACCAAATGGGCAACAACTTTTCTTCACTTTTATGCTGTCTACCATGGCCTTTCTGCTACTGGGCATATACAGAGTTCGAAAATATGAGATACTCCGAAATGTTTCTTTTTTGACTTCGTAATTCAAACCTCGCTACTTTTACATTTGTTAGTAGAAAAGTAACCGTGCATACTGTGACAGTAACACGGGTGCGTGGGTTTTGGATCGGACATGCGAGCATAATTCTGCCTCATTGGCTTCAAATCAGTTTCTTGTTTGGCAGAAAACGAAACGTAACAGACGATAAAACAACCAACAGGAGTTAGCTCGAAATCATCGATTACGTGACAATAAATGCCATACACTTTCAGCGATTCAGTGCTGGAATTATAGCGGTACGCCAATGCGAATCCAAAGACGGATGCACTGGAAAGGCGCGCTTAGTCCTATAAAGAGGTTGTGTTTCCGATCAACTGTACAGAGTTCCAAACTAGTGACCCTTATGTATTAAGGTGAACTTCATGCTTCTGGCATAAGAAATAAAACAGTGGAGGACTAGACACGAGTAAACAAACAGCTGACGCGAGATCAGCGAGTTCGACTGCACGATATTTTTAAATACTGTGATAAAATGTCAATGATCTGGCATTCAGCGAAACAACCCTCATTGTACTTTTGATCATGTGGCGCCAAACAAACAGATAACACCAAAGCAGATACCTACCTACCTTCTTTCCACCCCACCGCGTCACATTCTGTTGAAAATGGGGACACAAAAACTGCATCATCAAATTATTGTCCTACATGAGTTTTGGCAGTTTTGTTTTCATAACCCAGGGATTTCAGAATTTTCAAGACGAAGCAGAATTTCTTGTTTCAATTTTCTATCACTGAAGCCTGAGGTGCAACGGTAAACAATAATTCACCACACACGATTGGCCAGTATGCATCGCCAGTCATTCGCATCAAAGAAGTGTATAGCTCAGGCATTTTTCTCCCGTCACCAATCGTCCATTCAAACGACCAAACAGAGGATAGATACTATCATTCACGAAAAGATCCGGTTCAATCACTCATAGAGGATACCCTGTCTCGAACAGTTCATCTTGCCAGTTTCCATCAAATATATCACAAACAGCGAATGACCATTTCCCTAGTATCTGGAGCCACACAGGTCACTGAGTTGGAGTGAAATAATTCGAACATTCTGTTCGGTACCGTGATCTGTTGACTAAGAACAATAAGTGACCCTGAAAAACTTATTCCAACAGATCGACTAACGGGTCTGCTATTTTTAAAACTTCATTTGGTCAACCAACTGTTGTTGAAGAATAAAGATATCGTAAATCTACCAGTCATCTCGACTGAGTCAATTCACAGACAAAATCGTTTTGCCCAAATGAGACGACCTGATACCGACCTTAGGCTTTGTGATACGACTTCAGTCTTCGAGCGAAATATCAACCCCCC